TATATATATATATATATAATATAATATAAAGTGATCATAAGATTTTATACATGCAATTATACTTCTAACATGCGGTAGCTTATTTTGAACTTGATGAATCGGAACAAAAAATATTCGTTTCTTTTGAATTTCGATTGCAACTCGATTTTCTATTAAAATAGTTTATTTATTTAACTTTTTTAATTTAATTAAAAAATTAAATATTAAATCCTAATTGATTTTCTTTTCTGCTACACTCGTAATTTTCATGATTTTCGAAATTAATAAAAACAAGATGCTCCGTTTTTTGGTCCAATTCATTTCAACTGGTTGCCAATCACGTTCGAGGATAAAACGCGGCCAATAGTTGTCGATGTAACATTTGACCATAAAAGGAAAGGAAGTAAGAAATGAAGTTGGGCGCTGATAGTCATCATTGTTCGTCTTTACACGCGGCTTTTCTTGGGTTCTCCCGGTTCCTTAGCGTCGTTACGAGCAACGTGATTTTGTACTTACATCGTTTCGAAGTAACAACAACAATTTCTTTAAAATGTCGACGGTAGCGAGTCCTTTAGCCGTTGGAGGCATCCGACAATCGGGAGCACCGGTGCGAACACAAAATGGTACGAATACTGATCAGCCAACAAAGTTTGGTTATATCGTCTCGTAGTTCTCAAAGTTTTGTGTTTTGTCATTTTTTCCGTCAAAAATCTACGTATTCAGGAAACAAAATTGTAAATATTAGTATCGACTCTTGAACAATTAATTGTTACTACCATTTTGTACGTTATACGAAATCGTATCGAGCGTTTGGTAATTAAGGATAGTAATCAGGAAATTAATGACTTAATAAATGTTGCACCTGTATACTTATGTACATTTATGATTATCAAATATTAAGTTTATTTTGTTTAAAAATGAATGTATGATAAATTTTGACAATAATTAAAGCAGTGCATTCCACTTGATACTAACAACACTCTTGGAATCATTTCATCCTTTTTTTATTATCGAATATTTAACAAGGACAAATAATTATTGTGAGCCTCAAGTGGAATGTATCCTTAGAAACGTAAATCAAGTTTGTACAGTATTTAAAAAATTAATTATATAAATAATAAATAGTTATATACCTATATATAATGCCTGTAAATATATAAAGTAAACATATTATTTGTCTCTTTTAGTTATGGCTGCCTGTGCTATTGCTAATATAGTTAAAAGTTCTTTGGGTCCGGTCGGCCTAGATAAAATGCTGGTCGATGATATTGGTGTATGTATTTAGGTTTTATATCTTTTAAAATATATAAAATATAAAGATTTAAAACAAAATAATGTTAATTATCACATTATTATGTTAATTGATATTTTCAGGATGTTACTGTTACTAATGATGGCGCAACTATTTTACGCTTGTTAGAAGTTGAACATCCAGCTGCACGAGTTCTAGTTGAGTTAGCTCAATTACAAGATGAGGAAGTTGGAGATGGTACTACTTCAGTAGTAAGTGATTCATTTATATTTGTGTATTTAATGAGAAATTTATAATTAAATATATATTTAATATAAAATGCATTATTTTATATTTAAAGGTCATAGTAGCAGCTGAGCTTTTAAAAAATGCGGATGAACTTGTGAAACAGAAGATACATCCAACTTCAGTCATTAGTGGCTACAGACTTGCCTGCAAGTAAATATCCCACTTAATTTTTTTTACCTTTTTATTTTTATATACTATTTTATTTTTGATATAAAATTAATTGATTAATATTAATTAATTAAATTATTACAAAAGGATATTGGATATTTATTAAGAAGAAAAAAGAAATTATAGTTTATGTAATTAACACATGAAATTAATTTTAGAGAAGCATGCAAATACATTCAAGAACATCTTACTGTCAGCGTGGATGAACTTGGAAGGGATTGCTTAGTTAATATTGCAAAAACATCTATGTCAAGCAAAATTATTGGAGCGTATCCTTTTGATGTTATTTACAGTCCTTATTTGCAATTTGTTTTCGATATATATATATATATTTGGTAAAAACAATAATTTAAAATACTTTCTGTAACTAATAATTAGTGATGCCAATTTCTTTGGCAATATGGTAGTTGACGCTGCAAACGCGATAAAAATTAGTGATGGCAAAGGAGGATTTTTATATCCTATTAAAGCAGTCAATGTTTTGAAAGCACATGGAAAAAGTGTTCGAGAGTCGATTTTAATTCAAGGATATGCTTTGAACTGCACCGTCGCATCTCAAGCAATGCCGAAAAGGATAACAAATGCGAAAATCGCATGTCTAGACTTTTCGTTGCAGAAAGCAAAAATGAAGTTGGGCGTTGAAGTACTTATTACAGATCCGGAGAAACTCGAAGCCGTTCGTCAACGTGAGGCAGATATTACCAAGGAACGTATTCAGAAGATTCTTGCTGCTGGAACTAATGTCATTCTTTTATCTGGTGGCATTGACGATTTATGCTTAAAGGTATAATCATATATTTTAAGTAATAAGTTCTAGAATTTAGTGCAATATATTTATCTCGATTTTTCCATAGTATTTCGTGGAGACTAAAACCATAGCAGTGCGCAGATGCAAAAAAGCTGATCTGAAAAGAATCGCTAAAGCTACAGGCGCACAATTTCTAACTTCGCTGACCAATATGGAAGGAGAGGAGAGTTTTGATGCCAGTTTCTTGGGCGAGGCTGCCGAAGTAGTGCAAGAGATGATATGTGATGACGAGCTTATTTTGATCAAAGGGTACATATTTTGTTACTAATATAGTGCAATTAATTAATTCTATAATTTTACAATTCAAGTCAAGCATTGATCTTCTTTGATAGTTTCACACAATACTATGAAAATAACAATAAAAGCATGATTATTTAGCTTTCTTTTTTATTTCAAGGCCAAAAGCACGCACAGCAAGTTCTATTATTTTACGCGGACCAAACGATTATTACTGTGACGAAATGGAACGTTCCATACATGACGCGTTATGCGTCGTCAAGAGAGTCTTGGAAAGCAAGAGCGTCGTAGCAGGAGGAGGTTGCGTGGAGGCTGCACTTTCAATATATTTAGAAAACTTTGCAACATCATTGGTATCATTAAATTCTGAATTTTTTCCAATCAGTTTCTTTTCCTTTCATAAGATATTTATACATTTTTATATTACAGAGCTCTCGAGAACAATTGGCTATAGCGGAATTTGCTCGATCTTTATTAATTATACCAAAAACATTAGCCGTAAACGCTGCACAAGATGCAACCGATCTTGTCGCCAAGCTCCGAGCCTATCATAATTCCAGTATAACAAAACCAGATCTTGTTGACTTAAAATGGTAAGTTTGTCTTTTTTTTTAGTTTGTCGTACAAAATAAAAAATTAAAATTATATTTATATTTTTGTAGGGTGGGCCTTGATTTACTCGTGGGAAGTATAAGAGACAACAAAAAAGCAGGCGTGTTAGAACCAGCCATTTCAAAAATTAAATCTTTGAAATTTGCCACTGAAGCGGCCATAACCATCCTTCGAATCGATGATATGATTAAACTAGATCCCGAGCGTTCGAAAACTAAATCTTATCAAGACGCCATGGAAGCCGGTGAATTGGAAGATTAATATTAAAATGTGCATTTACATATTATGTTGAACATAATGCGTTTATATGAAAGAAATGTAAAAGATTTGTAAATGTTTCACTGCGTATATAAATATCACACGATAATAAAGATTTAAAATCTTGCTGTTCGTATGTTGCATGTAGACAATTTCAGTTTGCGCACGCATAAAATGCTGATAAAGCTTAAGAAATAAAGCTATTTCATAATATAATGTTACACTTATTTGATTACATTAATATCATAATAAAATATAATATAATTATGCTAAAAAGAACATGTAGGAGAAATGTTTAATTTGTATTTATTACTAAAAACTAGGATATTTTTAAACTTACATTTCTTTGAATTATATGAATAAACTTTTATGTTTAAGAAAATTTTGTAGTTAATTGTAGTATTTACAGTATAGTGAAAATGTATTTCATACTGTCTATGCTAATTATACCAATCTTATTCAAAGGTCTGTGTAATTTAACAATCAGTATGACTTAAAGCATATATATTATAATATACGCACGTATATTATAAATTCAGATAAAAATATAAAATATTAATATATAAATATATAATAATATGTAATATATACTATTATATAAATAATAATCAATAT